GATTTTTGCGGAACGCATTAACCTCATCTTGTGAGGCACCACTGTATTACGGTAGTCTACCACAAGATACTAGACCATGGGTAACTGTGGCACTGGCTAGATTAAGCTGCAGCTTAATCAGTGTAAGCTATCAGTCCATGCTGGTAGAAAATGTTCCATATACAGTATATACAAGACATTTGAGCCAATACTGATAGAGCTTGACCAAGAAACTCTTCCAGGCTGTAAACCTGAGGTACAATCTCACCCAGAACCATTTGGAACACCTCAGAGAAGCTTATATCCGCAGAAACGCCATATTGTCAGGGCTGAGTTATCATTCATCAGCTATCATCCTGCATTGGTTTAACATTTCCACTTCTTCACCTGACTTAAATAATAAAAGGAAACCTAGTATACTGGTGACACATTGTCCCAGATCTGCAAGCAACCCCTATTAGCAGGGTCATGTAGATATATAAACACAGAGCACAAGACAAAACTCTTCAAAATCTCATGGCAGGCATGTAACAGGGTCAAGGAACAGTTTTCCACAAATGATTTGGGAAGAATTCTTGTATCAGCATGCCTATCTCCCAGTAGTATCAAAAGCTCTTGAAAATTCCAGGAGTCACGTTCTCCTGTGTATCTTCCAGTACAGGTACTCCATCAATATGACCACAGGAGTTTCTCTGATCAAACTAGGTCTGATTCAGAACTGAAATAGGTCAAGACAATCCATCTCATCCAAGAGAGACTGTAGTGAACAGTCACTGGCCAACAAAGTATCTATGAGGAAAGACTAAAAGAACTGGGCTTGTTTAGACTTGAGAAGAGGAGATAAAACAGCATTCTTCATATAATTAAAAGACTGTCATACAGAGGAGGGGCAGGATTTGTTTTTAGTCATTCCAGAGTGTGCTAAATGCAATAATGGACTGAAGCTATAGACAGCTAGATTTCAGTTGTAGGGGGGGGGGGGAATCTTAATTGTTAGAGTAGTTCCACAATGGAATTAATTGAGAAGTGGTG